AAAACAACGGTATCGAACCTCGGGTCTGCATAGAATTTCTTGATGAAGGATCACAAAAAATATTTATGCATAAATCTGAGAAAATCTTCCGCGCAAATATTATACAAGTCACATTACAACACTATTTCAAATAACAACTTCTGTTTAGGCAGCCGGCGGCCTGAATAAAATAAAAACATTACTATCATATGAATAAAATAAAAAAAAACCCTAACTGAACTCAGCAACAACTTCGAACAAGAGTACCTGAATGAACGCTGTCAAATGTCGATTTCTTGGATCTCCATTTTTATCGAATTGAACAATTTGTTCAGTTTCAACAAAATTAGCCGAGTATCCCTCCGAACTTACGCCTCGCATATAGAATCGTGTCCCGGCTCTACAACAACAACAACGATACACCAATAAAACAATAACAACAAAAATGAAATATTACTCTGAAAATATCCTCTCAAAAATTCTCAGTGCAACAATGAACATACCTATGAACAGATCGCCTCGAAATGAGAAATAGTTGAAAGACCTTTTCACCGATTATGCATCTATTCGATGAAAAGAAACCATGGATTACTGGCAGAGCGTAACGATACAGACTTGGATCTGCTGCGATTGGCGCACACAGATATCGATTCCATACGAAACGTTCATCTGACTTCAAAATTACTACGCAAATTACGAATCGCTCATAAACTAATCAAGTTTCATAAGTTTCTTAATATAACACATCTTCACTTCAACAACAAACAACTTCTTTGAAATAACATTCACGCAAACAGTTAATCAAGTAAACCCGAATAATCACACTTGCAAATGATAGCAAAAAAACTCTAGCAGAAGTGATCTTAACAATAACTTGAAGATATTCGGCATTCAATATTTCTGCAAATTTCAAAGACCAACATCAACTCGCACGGTTGCATCTCAAGATATGGCAATCCGTCTCACTCGAAGAATACTTCGAATCAAACTGTTGCATGCAGCAGATTCCTTTATTTATCACTTACTGACAGATCACAGGTCAGTACTTCTTTCAAAATATTATCAAAGTGAATAAAAAATATTTTTACCCTGCCCATCATTGGAAGCTGCTTGAACATGGGTGTTGCGTTCTCGTCTAACCACTGCAAGGAATGTGACAAATCAAAAGATGTCGAGTAATAAAATCCACTAGTCGATAGCACCAAATGTATCATATCCACGAAATTTCGTTCGTACCATTTCTGCAAATTACAATAATCAACGTCAAATACACCGATACACTGCACATCAATGAGATGAATTCCGTACAAAATACCAAAATAAATCATGAAGTCATAATCATAATAATATTATTTGCTAGCCATAAGAATAAACTTATCAAGGAAGTAACAACTTAGAATAGTAAGAAGTCAGCACTTTTGAAAGCACTGAACTCGAATCGAAAGCGTTCGAAAAGCAATGAAAAACCTGTTTCTCGGTTAAATGCAATGTTGTCCTTTTGAACGGCAAAACCTCGATTTCTTTTATCAGCCATATTTCATGTCCATTCAATCTACCCATCATAAGAGCTTGCTTTATTGTAATAAGAGCATAGCCTAGAAATGATTTCATACTGATATATTTAAATCATTTATTGAAAATGAATCAAAAGTTGAGTGAACAGAATGAATTCAAAACGCCCACAGAAGATCATTCGAAAGAATAATCCAACCTGATACCAACTTAATCATTCCAACTATTCCATGAATCTTTTTCGTTTCCGCTTCCGTGATCGGAACCGGATTTTCGGCCGCTTCTGAAAAATGAACCTTGGAAAATTGGCCCTTCGGAACCAGTCGACATTCCAAAGACCACTCTGTTTTCCAGTCATCCTTCGTTAGCCAGAAATATTGGTGAAGTAAAATGAAAGACGGAATATAAAATATTTACTAAAAACAATGGTCTTTCGACTATAATAGCACACATTTCAACAGGAACTCACTTATGAGTGACAATTTATCTGAATCTCTATCAATGTTCAAATAGCTGTCTGATGCCAATCCACCGTCCCGATCACGAGGCTCGATCACAAACCGCTCTGGGAATACATACCTGCAATTGACACACTCAAGCAATATGCAATCGCCAAATGAAATGAAAATGCTATTGTCTTAATTTGTTAAATATTATCTTATATTTGAAAAAAAAAGATTTTGCTTAGCAGAAGAATTATTTACTCATCGTTTACTGAAGAATTAAAGAATTAAATTGAAAAAATTGTTCTCTTCTTCAAATTATTCGAATCTGACGCGAAGCGCGTGAAGAACTGTAGATTTTAATTCAACTCACAAATGAAACCGATCATAAATATCAGTTGGTCCTTCCATTTGCTTCAAGTGATCGAAGCTCGGTTTCTTCGGTAACGGTGATAATACGAATCGTTTCCGTCGGTCAACGCCACAATTTTCTACTTTTACGGGAATTTTACTCTGAAAATTAGTGATTTTAGCAAATTTGATCAGAAGTAATGAATCAGTTGTTATACATGAAATATCACAAGAAATAAATGATTACTGTGCAACATCGTTGATAAACACAAGCATTTGAGAACAACCCAAACGTTGAAAAATAACTAAATTAAAGGGACCTTATGCGTAGCCGGTCGATTGCCCTGTTTAGTCAAATGGATTTCACGCCTCGGATCCAACGAGCTCGCTGCACCAACGCTTGATTGTCCGGCTGAAGACGATCGATTCGTTTTATAAATTACAAATTAGGCGATTTCCTGCCCGTCAAATGAAACAAACGTTTAATTTTCACGATCACAACACTCATAAATCTGCGACACTTTACAATGTTTGACAAAAATTGTGACCCGAAATGCGTTCGTCAAAAAATTAAGGAAAAATCGAACTTGGCTTTACAAGAATTTAATTTAATTTCAAGACAGCTGAGCTGCAAAGGGTGACGGACATGTGGCAATTATGGCACACTGTCATTCAATGGTAAGCAGACAGTTCGCCAAGTAACGGAAATCGCATTTTTATTTGATAGGTGCTCAGAAATGTGAACTTTTTACCCGTTAAACGAGGATAAATCCGGGCAATTCATATGCTTAGGGTACTGCCGGGCAGGGACCGAATCCTCCCAGGCCAGTGGCTTTCTATAGCTGAACTGATCTAGTGGAAAGTGTCCAAACTGTAACTGTTTGACAAATGGTTTGGAGAAAAGTGTGAAAGCGATAAGAACAGCTGATCGATCCGCACTTCAAGCAGTTATTCCTATCGAATTTTCAGATGCTAATGAGAATTGCAAATGTCGATTTTTGGGAACTGATAAAACAAGATCCTTTCAGCCCCATGCAAACTGCGAACAAATAAGCAGAGCACCTTCGCGACCAGACGAGCTCTTTGAGGTCATTACCGGGAACTGTATTGATACAAATACCGAAATTGAACCCCGCGATAGCGTGCAGATGATTAAGAATAATGTTCTCGCATGAACACTGCAATGCTTACAACGAACGACAAATGAATTAATCACAAAACACTTACAAGAATTCAAATCGAAGCCGATATGATAATTCGAATCATTCCATGGAAATTAGTGCAATGTGGCCAATTTATACGGCTAACGAAGTGCTGTGCAATCCGAACTCGCAATATTCATATTGAAATTGCGATGTTTTACCAACTGATCTAATTGTAACAATATCAGATGGTTTACATTCATTATAAATGCATCCGAGGATCGACGACTGTGTCGGCTTGAATCCAAATCATTTGGCGACTTAACTGTGCACGGTTTCACCATTACACTTGCGATCGCCACCTGTAGACCGTTGAAGATTTCTTGAGGAATATGATTTGTTTTAGTTGCGCCAATTGAAGTCTCGTAGTCGCCCACAGGGGATTGATCATGGATGAATATCATTGATCTTAGGAATCGAATGGATTCAGTGCAGTAGTTCCGGTTCGGTTCAGTTAGACTCAAGCGCACGCATAGTTCCGTTTACGTTGGTTTTTTTTTNTTTTTTTTCAGTTTACGTTGAGTTTGCAGATTTTCAGCTTAACATCAAAAATATCCATTTCGTCACTAAATGATAACGTGAGATGGCTGAAGCACGAGATATACCAGCCGGAACGTACGACCTGAAGCTTGGAGAAACGTTTCAAGATGCTGCCGATAAGCCGGCTTATCATACGCTGAGATGTGAGTGTACTTGTCTTACGTTTGAGAGTAATTGTCATGTGTGATCTGGTAATATCAGAAAATTTCAGTTGACTTATTTGATCTGGTAATATCAGAAAATATTTAATCTGGTAATATCAGAAAATTTCAGTTGACTTCAAACCCAAATCGGTGGCCTCCGAAACGGAAACCTATCTGGCCTTCGGCGGAAACGGTGACGTTCAGGTACGTTCAACAAAACTCTTTTGAAAATGGCAACTTTAACGTAAACATTCTCGTAGTATTCTGCCTGAATTATCGTTTAAAATCAGAAGTGTGTCGTTAATCACACAGATTTGTTGCTTAGGTAGCTGTACCGGGTGAAGGTGATTCGTTGACGATTTACAAAGGAGCGCGGAAACCGGTCAAAGTCGACAAAGAATGTCTTCTGTTCTTTGATCATAATACCGGAGAGGTTCGTCTCGAAAAGCTATCATCGAATATTTCTGTAAAGAAGACAAGGTGCATGATTCGTTTTCGAATTTTCGTGATAGTTTCTGTTTTCATTCCATTCAGATGTGGTTTATTTTTTGCTGGAAGTGATTATTGTTATTGGGATGATGAATTTATTTGTAGAGATACGGATGAGGCAACCGTTTCGGTGATTCGTAACGAGATACGAAAATTACGAAAGAAAGCACAGAAGAGTGTGGTGAACGAAGGTGAGGATGAAGAAATGGACGATGCTAAGGTTAGAATCTTCTCGCCTTCTGATCATTCTGGTGACCTGAAAGCAAATCGTTAGATAAACTTGGAATACGTAGGATGTAAAAGCAATAGGTTCTGGTTATGATTTCATTTGAAACTTGATAGAAAACTCAGTCTTCGAACTGAAATCGAGATGCAGTTGGGTAAAAAATTCATTGCAGAGTTCCTCTGGTTCATCGTCGAGTTCCTCATCGGAAAGTGGAGAAGATTCAGATTCCGATTCGTCTTCGTCAAGCGCCAGGCGTTCCACTGCTGGTACGGCTAAAGAAGCGGACGCGGATAGCAGTGATGGCGAGGGCAATAACAGTGCTTCTGGTAGTAATGATGACGACGATTTACAAGGTGAAATGATTTGTTTTCATTGTTTCAATGATCGATTTTTTGATTACGCTTAAAGATGGTTCATTCGATAGTGAGAACTGCGAATTTGATTGAGAAGTATCATTCATCATGCAGCTTCCAGGGAAAATTTGGATTGGTACAAAAATCAACAAGTGATAAGCCTTACAGTTGGTGATATCGTTGAATATTTCAGATCAGTTAGAGCAACAGCTGAATGCCGACTCGATGCCAGCCATTGAAAATATTTCGTCATATCAGAACAACGCAAAACATCAAGCCTCATCAAATTCATATTCATCGCAATCTCATCATAATAACCATACGAATAATACCAAAAAATTACTCGATGATGACTTGCAATTAAGTGAAAGTTCTGATGATGATTGATTGATGAACAGACGGACGGAATGATGCAAACGCATCTATCCGAGGTTTGCGTTTTGAAGAACGTTGTTGATGCATTTTTGGCGAGTGATACAACAATTTCAGTTCGGAAACGACCAGTTTTGAGGTATTCCATTGCTGATGCGACGTATATTTCAGCTACTTTGCGTTTCCATTCAGTAACTTCAGTCTTCATCATATAATCCACTGAGTTCTCGTACGTAACAATGTGTTGCTGAAAGCCGCGTTGATGTCGTTAAAAGTCTCTTTCTGAGGTTTATGTCGTTCACTTTGTGATATTTTCTTGCGGTCATTTTGAATCCACTTCGTGTGCGATCTAATCTCTGACACCTTTGTGTCTTCTTTTTTGTGATTCTTCTAAATGTGGTAATGTTTTGTTCAGGTATAAGTTCAGTT